AGGTCAAGTTCTGGAGCGAGGACTGCTCAAGAACCAAAATAGGACACTCTGTATAGATAAAACAAGTCGTTTTTACTTTTAAACCCATTTCTTTGATCTGATATTCCCGCTATCCTTCCTGCTCGGCTCGCTCCGCCGGCTACCTACTACAATCTCTTTGAAATCAAGACGACCGAGAGCAAATGGCTCTTTTGACGGCATAATGCGCTGCTGTATCTCTCTCCGCCCGCGTGCATGTGTCTGTACTTGGCCGGAATTTGGCCCCGAGATATTGAAAGTAACGGCGCGGTCGAATTTCAGCAGCAGGAATAGCGGCGGTGAAGGCAGCCGGTTTCGCAGGTGCCTTAAGGCCGAACATCGCCAGTCAGAGTGGCCGAATTTTTGCGTAATTTCGAACAGGTCATCGTTGTGTAATCGCACCATCGATGGTATCGCAGGTATCTAAAAGTTATACGGTATAAATATACCGGGTGACAAACGACATCACTGATCAGATCGCCATTTTATTGAATAAATAAACGAACAAAAATGAAATAGTGTGGAAAATTATAAAAAAGAAGAAAAAAATTCAAAATTATTTAAAATTAAAAGAAATTGTAAATAATGGTATATAGAGGTATCACAGAACATAAGAACTCAACACCTATTACAACGGAAGAAATAGAAGAAGCGGTTAAAGAAATTAAAAATGGAAGAGCACCCGGACCTGGAGATATTAGCAAAGCGGAGATATAAACAAAGAAAGATACTCTCGCAATCCATATGTACAACGAAAGGTCTGAGACAAAGTTGTTGTGTGTCCCCTCTTTTATTTAATATTTACCTGGATATAGATAATGAGGAACATTTTCTGACACTTAATTTTGCAGACGATCAAGCAGTATTTGCTCAAGATTCCTTTGACATGGAGTTTATGCTGAGGAGATTATATACTGAGTATCAGGAATGGGGTCTAGAAGTCAGTTTAGAAAAAACAGAATACTTGGTATTAAATTCCGACGCCAAATTTGATATTCTAATTGACGACAACGCAGAAATACAACAGGTAGACATATTCAAATATGTAGGAGCTATAGTTGATGAAAATGGAATCGATGGGACAGATATACGACAGAGAATTCAGAACGACACACACACACTCATACAACCACACCTACACTAGTGTACACTGGTGTTAGAGCCTTCAGGCTTTATCAGTACGGTGAGCAATCAGGAAGCGATGAAAACGATCCCAAAAAACAGAAACCAGGAAGCATACGATGCACGAGGTACCGTGTGCAACCTAGGAGATGCAAAAATGATGAAGAAATGAAAAATAATGATGGAAAATAAAAGGAGCAAACGGAGAACAAATTGGGGGTTTATAGGCTCCCGTTTGCTCCTTTTATTTTCCATCATTATTTTTCATTTGCTTCCTGGTTTCTGTTTTTTGGGATCGTTTTCATCGCTTCCTGATTCCTTACCGTACTGAAGCCTGAAGGCAGTAACACCAGTATACACTAGTATTTATAGATGTGGTTGTATGAGTATGTGTATGCGTGTCTGCCCTAGTGTGCACTTTAGAAAGTTTGGCGTAGAACTTTGGACACCCTGTAGGATTTAAGATTACGATATTTATATCAAAGTATGGATAGAACATCTAAAGTGAATACCTAATAGAGTTTTAATTTCGGAAGGGGTTCTTGTATTTGTAATAATTTTTTTAACCCTCGAGCAGGCGCGTCCTGTATTTTGTACCACAATTTTACTAATTTCGTTAAAACAAAATATCCATTGGACGTAGGTCGGTGGTCGGTGGTGCCATTAAATATTCTTATTTAGGGATATTTGATACCCTGGATCAAAGTAATTTCGTATATAACGATGTTGGTTCAGTAGCACTTCTGTCATAAACCTGACAACTGCAGAAGTTGCGGTACTCCGTGCCGATACGCGCCTCTATTTAATTATTTTGCTTTATTTGGTGTAATTTTAAATTGTTAATTAATTTTTTGTTTGCTCTTATAGTATCTGTTAAATACATATATGTTATATAACCTGTAGTAATACGGAAAGGGCCAGTATACAAACTCTTCCTACAGATTTCCAAGTTTACCTTGCTAAATGTGCTCCAGAGGTAAAGGTCCTAGTTAGAGACAATAAGAAGCGAGTTGAGGTAGGCGCACACTGACCAGCGCCGCGCTCGCCGCACGCGCCGCAAAAGCACGAATCGCACTTTTTTTTTCTCGTCGCGCACACTGAGGCGTACCGAACGATTTTGTTTCTTTTTGCTCCTACTACACCCGTATTTGCCAATCAAATTTCTCATCAGTCGCTTCCAGAGTCCTGTCTGCGGTGATAAGCGTGTTTTTTAATATTTCTCGACAATGAATGACAACGAACAAGAAATAATTATAAGCTCCTTGCTAATAGAAGAAGAAATCATGAGAAAGAATCGAAAGTTATAGGTTCACAATATTTGCAAAAATCCACATTATTTCCATATTTAATTGAGGATGAACTAAAAATTTTTCAATATGAGCCATGAAAAATTTGCGAACTTTCTTAGCATATTGAATTTCTAATCTCCTTGTTGGGTTAACTACGGCAACCCTGTAAAGTGCAGTTAGAAAATGGACTGGTCCAAGAGAGTCCAAGAGGGGAGGACGCATAAGAAGAACATCTTTTGACCTTTGAAAGACATTATCATTTACTTAACGTGAAATTCTAATAATATTGACGCCTATACATAAGTTTTTTGGTCCTTCGAACCCGATATTTGGCGAAGAATTTGGAAAAACAGCAACTACAATTGACAACGCAATTTAATGGTTTTTATTCAACAATTGTTACCACAAGAAGTTTGCTATCGCTACAGGTTAGTGTGCATCCTTTTTTTTTTCCTTTACTTTACCTACTTTACAATCCATTATTTGCTCACTTTATTCGATTTTTATCGATTTATATTGAATTACTTTACCTATGCTGTAATTAACCGATTTAAGCCACTTAACACGTTTCTTGTACTTATTTTAATTATTTTAATTGAGGGATTTAAACAAACATTTACTTATTACATCTTTAACATAACTATTTAAATTTTAAATACGTTAAAATGACTGATGAACTTAAAAACAAAAGACGGGTCATTAAAGCAGCTCTCACACGATTTGAAAATTACTTTAACTTAAAAAAGTCTCTGGAAAACCTTCCTTTTGAAGAAGTAGAACAATTAAAAACAGATTACTTAAGGCTACTACATTTTTAGATGATTTTAATGACGTTCAAATGAGCATTGAAAACTTAGACCCTGAATTTGACAAAAATTTCGATTCACATTCAGAACAACGTGAACATTTTGAAAACCAGTTTTACCGTATTACATCTGAAGCCAAAAAATATTTAGACAATATTATTACAAAACAAAATGCAGAGTTGAACTCTTAAAATGTAAGCGTGAAAAATGCAGCAAACAGGCACTGATAATAATATGACTTTTGCATCGATAAAACTCCCACAAATTAATTTACCCACATTCGATGGTGCCCATGATCAATGGCTTTATTTCAGAGACACTTTTCGATCACTCATTCATAATAATAATTCACTAACATCTACACAGAAATTTCACTATCTACGTCTTTCTCTAAGAGGCATAGCAAACGGAACTATTTCATCTCTAGAAGCTTGTGACGATAATTATCAAATAGTAACTTCAAAACTTGATAATGCTACAAGACGTTCTTGGGAATCTACAATTTTTAACACTGAACTACCAACTTATAACGAACTTATAGATTTTTTAAAAGAAAAATGCCGTATATTAGAAACTATTGAAACAAATTACATATCAAAATCACAGAAGAATTATAAAAATGAACCACCTCTTAAACGCGATTTTAAAACATTTTTAACAACAGAAAATAAATGTTCGATGTGTAAAGGTGATCATACAATTTATAACTGTACTTTTTTCCTAAGTCTTTCTCCCACTGAAAGATTTAGTGATATAAAGAAAAAGAAATTCTGTATAAATTGTCTTGGTTCTAATCATGCAATTTCATCATACTTTATTACATTTCAATGAAAATCCTAGAACTCATGATAAAGTTAGTACAGGAATAGATACACCATCCAACTCAAACACACCTTTAGTTTCACCTTCAACTTCAACAACGCTTACAATTAATAATTTATCGACAAATGTTGCTTTGCTATCAACAGCTAATGTTAATATATATGACTCTAACGGAAAATTACATAGTTGTCGAGTTTTATTAGATAGTGGTAGTCAATCCAATTTTATATCTGAGAGACTATGTGATATATTACATTTAACCAAGGAAAAACATCATTTTCTGTTTCTGGGATTAATCAAATATCTGAAATACTTAAACATAAGGTTATTGTTAAAATACGTTCTGCTACAATAAATTATGAAGCGAAATTGACTTGCTTGCTTGTACCTGAAATTACGGGAAATTTACCCTCAGTATCTTTTGATCACACTTTGTTAAACATCCCAAAACATATACAATTAGCCGACCCAAACTTTAACATTTCAAAACCAATTGATTTACTGATCGGCGCTGACTTATTTTGGGAACTACTTAGCATTGGGCAAATAAAACTGGGAACTGGACTTCCTATTTTGCATAAGACAAAACTTGGGTGGATTATTTCAGGGCCTATAATTAATAATTTTCACAATAAAACAACATGCCATTTTAATCAAAATATTGAACAACTTCACAAATTTTGGGAAATTGAAGATTTTCATAAAAATAAATTTTTATCGACTGAAGAGTCTTACTGTGAACAACATTATTCAAAAAACACTGAGCGAAATTCTGACGGACGTTTTATTGTTAAACAACTTTTCAAACAATCTCAAGACATTTTAGGTGATTCGAAAAATACTGCTATTAATCGATTTTTAAATTTGGAACGTAGGTTTGAGAAAATTCTAATTTGAAAAAGAATACCAAAATTTCATAACTGAATATCAAAATTTAAATCACATGACTTTAGCCAATGATCAAACTGACATATCTGGATTTTTCCTACCACATCACTGTGTTTTTAAAATGGATTCAACTACAACAAAACTACGAGTTGTTTTTGACGGTTCTTCTAAATCGACTTCTGGATATTCATTAAATGACTTATTAATGGTGGGACCTAACGTTCAAGACAGCTTATTTAATATTTTAACACGATTCAGATTTTATCCTATGGTTTTAAGCGCAGACATCGAGAAGATGTATCGACAGATTTATCTCCACGAAAGCCAACGTCATCTACAAAAAATTCTGTGGCGTCCTGATAGAAATCAGGATCTGCTCGTATATAATCTTAATACTGTGACTTATGGAACAGCTTCTGCTGCATTTCTTGCTACTCGTTCTCTTCAGGAGATAGAAGCGAATAACAATCCTAACATTAGTGATATTATTTTACATGATTTTTACGTAGACGATCTTCTCACTGGTGGACAAACCCCACAAGATGTAAAGGAACTAAAAGATAATCTTTATAAAACTCTTCATAAATATGGAATGAATCTACGAAAATGGCTATCTAATGATAAATCTATCACTGCAGATTCCGATGACATATTTATTTCTCTTGATTATGACAACCAAACTAAGACGCTAGGTTTACTCTGGAATTTTCTATCTGATTCATTGCAATTTAATATTAAACACGAAATACCCGATAAGACTACTAAACGCACGATACTTTCTTCAATTGCTCAAATTTTTGATCCAATGGGACTTTTGACTCCAGTCACGATGACTGCCAAAATCATTCTACAGCAACTTTGGAAGATTAAAATTGATTGGGACGAATCTATACCTGCGGATCTGCATACAAGTTGGTCCACATATAGAACCCAACTTATTCAATTAAATAAACTTAAAATTCCTAGATTAGTTCTTTGTGCAAATGCAGTCGAAATACAATTGCATGGTTTTTGTGATGCTGTTCAACCTGGTTATGGAGCATGTATTTTTATTCGTTCTTCTGATGCTCTGGGAAATGTTACTTCTAATCTTCTTTGTTCTAAATCCAGAGTATTGCCATTAGCACTTACTACTATTCCAAGACTAGAACTTTGTGGAGCCCTTCTACTTGCTGAGCTCATGAATAGTATTTTGAATTCTACGAAATTTGATATACAATCTAAGGTATACTGGTGTGACTCCACTATTGTACTATCCTGGCTAAATACTTCTCCACATCTGCTAAAGATATTTGTTGCTAACAGGGTGGCTCAGATTCAATTACTTACAAATTTAAAATAGTGGAGATATATTAATACTCATAATAATCCTGCAGACCTTCTAACTAGAGGTATAACTCCTTTAAAATTTATTGACACTAAAATTTGGTTTACGGGACCTTCTTGGTTGGTCAGTGAAGAAATTAATTGGCCACATTGCAAATTTAATTTTTCTAAGGAAATTGATGAAACAGAGTTACGTAATATAACAGCAGTACACTTAATTAAAAACGATTTAAAGGAAAATAACATATTAATGCTTTTAGAAAATTGTTCAAAATTTACAAAACTTTGTCGTATACTTGCTTATGTCTTACGATTTAAAAACAACATTCGCAAAACTAAAATAACACATTTTAGCGGTCCTTTAAGTTTAGATGAGATATCAAGTGCTCTTTTTATCCTAATTAAACTAGTTCAGATCGAATCATTTTCTGAAGATTATAATACCTTACGTAAAATGAATAAATTACCTAAAGGTTCTAAATTATTTAAACTAAATTCATTTTTTGATGAATCCAATGAAATTATAAGAGTTAAAGGCTGTTTACTAAATTCTGATTATACATTCGAAAGAAAGCATCCTATACTCCTTCCCGCAAAACACAAACTTACAATTTTAATTGCGGAAAACGAGCATATTAATTTATTACATGAGGGTCCTCAGGCTATGTTAGCTTCTTTACGACAAAGATATTGGCCACTTAATGGACGCAATTTAGTTCGAAAAATATATCACAAATGTATGAAGTGTTTTCGATTTAACGCCAAATCCGTACAATACATCATGGGTAACTTACCAAAATCGCGTATAACAGCTTCTCGCCCATTTTCCTTCTGTGGAGTTGACTATGCAGGTCCATTCACAATTAAAGATCGTAATGGCCGTAAATTTAACACCACAAAGGCATATATATCACTGTTTGTTTGTTTCGCTACAAAGGCGGTGCATTTGGAGATAGTTAGTGATTTAACAACTGAATGTTTTTTGGCTGCTCTTCATAGATTCATGACTAGAAGAGGTAAATGTACACTAATGTTTTCGGATCAAGGTACAACTTTTATTGGGGCAAACAACGAGTTAAAATCTTTTTTCCAAATTAATGGTGACAAATTAACAAACAATTTAACAAATCAAGGAATACAGTGGAATTTCATTCCACCTAGAGCTCCACACTTTGGTGGACTATGGGAATCGGCTGTAAAATCGGCTAAATACCATATAAAAAGAGTAGTCGGTAATTCTATTTTTAATTTTGAAGATTTTAACACTATTCTATGTCAAATAGAAGCTTGTTTAAATTCGAGACCTCTGTCCTCTCTGTCTGATGATCCTGATGATCCTACTTGCCTCACTCCTGCACACTTTTTAATTGGAGAACCTGTTACAACTATACCACAAACCAATGTTCTGGGTACATATCCATCTAGACTATCCAAATACCAACACCGTCAACAAATTGTACAACACTTTTGGTCCAGATGGTCGAAAGAATATGTTTCTCAACTTCAAGTCCGTACCAAATGGAGAGAACAACACAATCAAATATTGAAACCAGGTTTGCTTGTCATCATAAAGGAAGACGGCTTACCACCACTCAAATGGCGGATTGGGCGTATTCAACATGTGCATCCTGGGTCAGATGGTGTGACACGTGCAGTAACCATTAAAACTGTCAATGGAACATTCAAACGTCCTGTTACAAAAATTAGTGTTTTCCCGAGCAACGAAGACTAACATCTTTGAAACACGGAGTGCTTTCAAGGGGGGCGGTATGTTGGGTTAACTACGGCAACCCTGTAAAGTGCAGTTAGAAAATGGACTGGTCCAAGAGAGTCCAAGAGGGGAGGACGCATAAGAAGAACATCTTTTGACCTTTGAAAGACATTATCACTTACTTAACGTGAAATTCTAATAATATTGACGCCTATACACTCCTCTTCGGCTACCTATCGTAGAGTGGAAGGAATTGCGTGTAACCTTAGCAGCACTAGTAGCATTTATCGAAAATCATTGTGGCCCAACAATGCTGGCCGTATTTTCGTCGATGCGATTCGTGCGGCTCTGGCTAGTGTGCGCACCTTCATTGAAAGTAACACAAACAATATTTTTCTTCAGTCGGCGCGTGCGGCTCTGGTCAGTGTGGGCGTACCTTTAGTCCCTGCCATGAATGCGAAACCCATAGAACTGCTAGTTTTTGCAACTAATGCAACAAATTTGTTTGCAAAAACTACAGTGATAGACTAATCAATTGTATTACCAGTAGATATCTATCTTATAGAAGAAGACTAAACATTTAGATGATAGTTTCACCTTCTTTATTCCAGTATTTAAAAATATATTTTTTTAATATTTAAAAGGTTCTGATTGGTTTCTTTTATTATAATATATTTGGTATAATTTAGTTTTTGTGTGTTGGCAAAGTTATATATTATATTTTTTTATTTTGAATACTAATAATGTTCCTTTTTTTATAATACGTTTAAGTTTTTTTTGTGTTAATAAAGTAAATATGTATTAAGTTTAAGTCTGGACACACCTTTATATGCGTGTACTTTTGGATACCTAAAAAAATGACGGATATAAAAAACATTTATTTGAATACAGGACCAATAACAGAATAGACCGACCAATGAGATCAACACAGAACATAAAATAAATATTAAAATATTCATATAAAATGACAACGAACGAACAACAAAACTATAAGGTTTGCTTATATGCATGCCTACAAAGGTTTCCTACGTACTTTTTTATTCGCAAAATTATCAATTACTTCATCGTAATTGATAGTTTTTAAAAGGTTTTAAAAGTTTAAAAAGGACTCAATATGTAAAACTGCCAAATGATTTAGACGTTCTGTTTCCATAGTGGACCGTAAATAAGTTCTAATACGTTTCAATGCAGAAAACGAGCGTTCAGCAGAACAATTAGTAATAAAGGTACATGTGAAGATTCTTAATGCTATGAAAGTATTTGGAAACAGCTCTTGAGCGTTTTTTTTATAAATTACTTTAAGAAGCTCTCTAGCCGATGGTTTTGCTGACTTAATGCATTTTAAAAATTCACGAAAATGTATTAATTCATTAGGCATTGACTCATTTAAATCATTTGGATAACAGGTTATTAAATGTCTGGACTTATCGGTAATGTCGTCAATACTTAAAATAGATAAATCACTAAAGAAACTAAATTTGGTTGACAAGTCATTGTATGCACTTTTCCTGTATAGGAAATTTCAAGAATTAATTTATCAATAATAACATTAAATACATTTATCCTAAAATCGTCCCTAGCATTAAATAGAGATGTGTCCTTTATTATCACTGGTTTCATCAAATTGTCGTTTCCGTTTCACTTTTCTCTTTTTATCTGCCGCATATTCTTTCTCACCGAACAATTCTATGGCCCTTCTTTCATATTCCTCAAATGATTTAATATTATCTAGATTTCTAATTTCAGAAAAATATTTTTCCAATGAGCTATGTAAATCTGCAGTAAGATCAATATCCACCATTTGAAGCTTTTTATTGACCCCGTCTAATCTATTTAAAGCGTCTGTCCAAAATACCGCCATAAAACCCATTTCTAGGCTTTTGAATTGTTTAAGGAGACTAGAAGCATCTAATCGGGTTTTAGGCTTTTCGGTATCGTCTTCAGAAATTGACTCCAACGTGGATTTTATTTTATTGGAAGACAAAGATAGTGATTGGCAAGCTTCATTTTGTGCAGACCAACATATTTTTAATACATTTTTTAATGTTTTTGAATTTATTTTTTTATATTCGAGGTATTTATGTACTTATTAACTGGATGCATGGCACAATGCAGTAAAAAATAACCCAAGCGAATTATATATTTAAACAATAAAATAATAGTTAAGTAAATAAATACGCAGAAAAGCTCATGAACATACTGAGAAGTTAAAACAAACCGTTGATGCTCGTCACTCAATTTTTGGCCAAGAGTGCGGCACAGGTAGACTTAAATCCAGACGCCGTTTCCTAAGCCACCCCCTGGATGAACCTCCCTCCCACTACCCCCTTAGAGAGGATCCACCAAATGGTGTTTCTAGCGACTGGAAAACCTGGAGACAGTAAAATCCAATTTGATCAAATGGGGTTTGCTGGACAGAAATGACGACAAATGCGACTGCGGCGCCTTTCAGGACATGGAACATCTTCTTCAATGTCCTGCGTGCCCCCACAGATGTACCCTCGATGACCTATGGCTGGCTAAACGGGAAGCATTGGCAAGGGTTAATAAACTATAATATAATCCGGATTCGAAAAAGTAAAAAAATTAAGTCTTAATTCTTCGTGTTTACCATGCTGTAATTTTTGTGGTCCACCTGTTGTCCGTCCTTCTTGTCAGATGTCCTGCCCATTGCCACTTGAGGGATTCGATTATGTGGATGACATCTATTACCTGGGTCTTTTGTCGTATCCACTCTATTCTTTTATGGTTTTCCTTGATTATTCCAGCATATTTTGTTTTTTGTTCCATTGAATATTGTGCGACCTGCAGTCCAAATAAGTAAAGTATCCAGGTTTCGCATACATAGGTCATGACTGGTAGTACACATTGGTCGAATGTTGTCTTCTTTAGATAAACCCCTAAAAATATTTGTATTTATTTAAGACTCGCACTGTATATTTTTATATGTATTTGATATTATTTAAAAGCCCTGTACAGTAACACCTGCGTCATTTAATTATCAAGTCTTCAATACGGATTATGGCTATCATCGAATATAAACTATTTGATGTGAGCAATCAAAACGGATTTACTTAAAATCTATTAATATGCATAGGAGACGATCTTAAATTCCGAACGATGGGAAAGCTTATAATTAAATATTTCATTCTCAACTGGAGCATTGAAATTGAAAACACGATTGCGAATGTCAATTTATATTCATCATCTTTATGGATAGCAGGAGATTTCGATTAAATGCAAAGCGTACAACTAACCTGAATTTCCCTATTAGTTCGTTTTATTGTTTTAAAATATAAAGCGCAACAGTTAATAACTATTACTTTATAAACGACTTTTTAAGTATCACTGGAAATTCTCTAAATATGTTTTTATTGTTACTTAGAAGTTCCATCATAATTCAATTAACCATAATTATAGTTACTTTTTTTCACTAGTTATTATTTAAACGATAAATATTGGTATATGTTTGGTAGATCCTCCTAAGAATATATTGTCTTGTCAGCTACGTATATACCAGATGTACCTAGTTTTCAGAAATATTTCTTATATTATATATTTATTATACAGGGTTAGTCTTAAATAAGTGTAAATATTTTTAGGGGTGGTATATTTCGATCCCAGAAACACGTACATGAGGTTTTTTCGCGATTTTTTTTTTGAAAATTTGGAATTTTTTTAAAATATAAAATAAAAATATCTCGGTTATTTTGGATTTATTTTAAAAAGGGTAAAGAGAAAAAATATTTATTTTATTGAGCTCTACCAGCCCTGAAAATATTGGGACTTATTTAAGACTCACCCTGTATATGTATTATACCTCAGATGCAAAAAAAACGCAACGGAGAAAATTTTGGTCAAATTTAAAGTGTCTATATTTTTGTTATTTTTAGCCATATTTTCATGAATTTTTTAGCAAACTGTATATTATTATATCAACTTTAATTCGTAAACTAAGTTTTTTTATAAACTTTAGTATTTGGCATATTATACAGGGTTAATCGGGGGATTGTTTTTTTACCTTAACTTTAAAACACCCTGTGCAATAATTTCGTGTGTAAATTTTCCTAAAATATAATTTTACGGCCAGAACTATGACTCCTGTGTATTTTGTTTTTTGATTCATGTCAATAGATGCTTTGGTTAATTTTTAAGAGCGAAATGAACTGATCACGACCAATTTGCAATTTTTTCAATTATTATCATTACTTTTTGATGAAAAGTTTTAATATGACGAGATGGTTTTGGTAACTATTGTCGTAACGTTGTATCACGCTGCATTGGATACTCTATACTAAATTAAAAAACGTTAAAAAATACCCTAATATTTTGTATTGCTTCCCTTGGCTGATATAATTGCCTGTATACGTCCGATCATATTGTCATTCAATGTCGTCCGTCGGACCCAAATACGTTTAAATAAAATATACGACGGCCTTCCCATAAGAGCAATGAGAGGATTTACGTCCCAGTATTGAAGGAGGACAGAAAATCGAGTCGAATGGTTTCAAGACATAGGTTCATCCTTGTTTAGTCAAACCTCCTACAAACCAAGGATAGACTTATGTAGGAAATGCATTGAAATTCTATAGCCATCCTTCAATATCGGGACAGGAATTTAAGCGGTACCCTCCGTATACTTTATTTTAAACGTATTTGGTCGGACCCCAGCACTCCATAAGCGGTACGAAAATTCACCACGCCAGTTGAGGGAGACGCCCGGCCTTGAACGACGGCATTGAGACGGCAATGATGCACGAGCTAGCGAGAGGAAAAGTGATAGAGGCAGTGTTGCCACAGCCACCCCATTCGGGGTAGATCTATCCCTTTATAAAACGATTTAACCCCTCTATCTTGTGATAATCTACACCGATGAAAACTAAGCTTGTGGCAACACTGGATAAGGAAAGAAAATTACTATAATAAACTTGATACTCTACCAACCTTGATGTGTACCAATATCATCTGGTTGTGTGCTAGGAAGTAAATTTTCATGCATATTCTGGTTTGTAGCTTCTGAA